TTTTTGCCATAAATTTTTAGGTGAAAGATAATTTCTATTCTTAGCATTTAGTCCTTATGGCTCTATACAACATTGTCCCTAGATATAAATAGAATAAATATTATACATATATAACATTTTGCTACATATCAAGGATTAAAAAAGTAGTTAAAATTTTAAAATAACAATTTGGCAGCTTGAATATCCGCCTAAAGTGTATCTATCATGTATGGCACTTAACAATAATATATAGGTTGCGGCTATATGCAATACTCATTTCACTTGTGCAAGACCAAATTAAAGAAAGATTCCAAAAGATTCTATTTTATTAAGATGGAATGACAAATATGTCCCCAAAAAAAAAAGGGGGTTTTTTTTCATGCAAGACCAAATACAAATAATGAGGGAAAAAAAAACTATAAAAACTTTGGGGGGAAAAGGGGCCCCCCCCCCCCCCCCCCCCCCCCTGAAACCCTACCTACCCCCACCTTCTCCACCGCTCAAGCTCCGCCGCCGATCGCCGCCGCCGCCAGCCCCGCCACGCACATGACCTAAATCTGCCCAAAAAAAGAGGAAAAACAAATTAAATTTGAAACTGATAAAAATCGACACCAAGGTGTCGAAAAACTATGCTACAAATCGACACTTAAGCGTCGAATTTCATAGGTAAAAATCGACATTGACATGTCGAATTTATAGCACAAATTCAAATGTCGAATTTTATACCTCAAAATCGACATCTAAATGTCGGTTTTTACCTGTAAAATTCGACCTGTACATGTCGAATTCGTTGGCACGGGATTTTTTTTCGAAAATCGATATTTTAGCTAAAAAAAACCCATAAATGCATACCTTCTTGGGTTCTTCCATTGTAGAGTTTTCTATTTTGATGTCTTCTGACTCCATACTTGCCATCTTTGTAAGATTTGGTAAGTTTTGACGATTTTGAATGTCTAGGTTTTGTGGGTTTATGGAGGAGGAAGGAGAAAGGTCTTGTGGGTTTTGGAAGATGGAGAAGATGAGAGTTGGTTTTGTGGTCTTGTGATAGGGTTTTTTGTGTTTTTGAGTTTTTGGTCTTGCACATTTGGAATTTTCTATTTTTTTAATAAATAAGGGTAATATAGTATTTATACATTGAAAATTTTAATTTGGTCTTGCACAAGTGGAATTAGCGCATATAGCCGCAGCCTAATATATATCAACTATTTCGAAATTAAAAATAGGGGTAATATGTCTCACATCCCTCAAATCAAACCTAATTAGATATAAGTGACAATATCAAATAAAATATTTTAACTATAACCCTATTTCAAAATAAAAATTGATATACATCCTTTGTTTTTTATTTAACCCTAAAATACTCTTCCAATACCTACCTAATAAAAATCACTATTTCTCTCTCTTCCCCTCCCCTCTATCTCACGCCACTCAACAACCCCCTCCCCACTCTTCTGACTTTCTCGTTTCTCCCCCACCCCCTCCCCCTCTCTCTCTCTCTCTCTCTCTCGCTCTCTCTCTCTCTCTCATATGATGTCGTCCCCAACCCCCCCTCCTCCTCCTTTTTTGTTTTCTTTTTTTTTTTGTTTTTTTTTTTGTTTTTTCTCCCTTTTAACAGATCCTTTTTTGTTTTCTTTTTTGTATTTTTTTTCCTTTTTCTCTCTATTAACATATTTATATTTAATAAAAGATTAAATTCAATTATAGTGGAATAGTTATGGAGGCTATAACGGTAGTTATGGTATGTGTCGACGGCTATGGTGGCGGTGGTTATAGCTTGGTAAGTGGCGACGGCTATGGTGGCGACGACATGGGACTGTGCGGCGGGGTTGTGGTTATAGTTGTGATGTTATTGAAAGCATATTTTGAATATTTAATTGCATCTAATTTTCTTATCTTTTAAGAGATTTTGCTTAGTTTGGGTTCAAAGGGTAGATCTAGGTTTTTTCAAATGTTGCTAGGTGACAATGGTTGCGGCGGTTGTGAGCGTTGGCAGCTAGGGTTTGCGTTGGTTGCTAGGGCTGGCGACGGCCAGGAGTTGTTGGCGGCTAGTGTTTAGTAGTAAAACATAGTACACCGTATACACTATAGTACATCGTAGTATAAGTACACTGTAATATGCTATAATACACCCTATTACACCCCATAGTCTACTATAAATCGAAAATATATGAATTGAAAAAAATAAAAATAAAATAACAGCTTTTTTTTTTTTTTTTGCAATTTTCAATATTATGTAAAAAAAAAAAAAAAAAAAAAAGATAGACAGATATTCTGTAAAAATTAAAAAAAAAAGTTAAATGAAAATATAAAATATTAAATGCACTTTGAAATTTGCTTAATGCATATTTCAAATTTGTGAGTGGAGGGGCATTTTTGGAAAATGAATTTTATAGAGGACATGAAGCAAATGTTTAATTGAGCTTATCATTTATTTCTAATAAGTTTTGTCACTAAGGACATATATCCTAATACCCCTTAAAAATAATAGTTATCTTCGTTGTTTTCACAGTTAAGCATTAAATAATGTATAATTATTTGTTTGAGAACGTGTCTCCCTCTAAATTGACGATCATCATTGTTATGATAGTCAAGCATTAACTATGGGGAATTTTAAATGGGCAATTGGTCCATAGATTTTAAACTTTATGGTAATAAATCCAGGTCCAAAGTCTTTTTTTAATGATGCTATTTAAAAACTACATGAATTTTGAAGAATATAAAGAATCAACTAAGGTTAAAGAATTGAATCTTATATTGTAAAAGATAAATTTTAACATTTAATCGATTTGAGTTTTGACATTTAAATTTTATTCAAAGATTTGAATCTATTACGGTATGAATTGAATCGAAGAATTTGGGTCGTAAATTATAAGATTTTAATAACCATAATCACATTTTTTTTAAATAAATTGTTTCCTATTTATATTTAACATGTACACTAAAATAAATAATTGAATATCCTAATTATCTCAATAATAAACTATATATTATTGAGAATAAAAGAGATTTAAAAGTTTCCAAATTTTTAATATAGAGTAAAGCTCAAGTCCTTTTATATTTTGCTCCTATTATAATTGAGCAATTATAAAAAGTACGTGGATTTTGACTTGGTACCAAATACATAAACTTAGTTTTAATTTCAAACCATTTATATTTTTAACTTTTTAGAGTTAAAAATCATGTTCTTCAAATTTACTTTTCTTTTTCTTATTAGAATTGAATAATGAAAAAAAAATCATAAATAAAAAATACTCGGTTTGCCCCGCAACAAAAAAATAAAACGAAAAAAGAAAAAAGAAAGAAAATTTGTGCAAATCTGGAGGCTCTAAACAAGACGACGCCGTTTTGCATTAAATGTGTGAGGAAGAGAAAGGGCAACTAACAAAATGGAGGGATAAAGAGTATAAAACCACCCAGTGATTAGTAAAACGTGCACCAAATCCCCATGTGTTAATTTTATTGCGTAGAATCACTATCTGTTTTGTTTTTTCTTGTACACACTCCCTTTCTTTGTTAGTTACCAACTCCGTTAGATATATAATTTTGTCATTTCAATCAATTAACATAAATTTAAAGAAACAAAAAATAAAGAAGAAAGAAAACAAAAAAGCTTTCGGTCTTCTCAACCCAGAACATAATTTCATTGACCCTCGCATGTTTGTCCATTATTCTCTTTTGATGGAGGGATTTCAAATCCACAATAACAAATTTCTTGGACTTATTTGGATTGAGAGATTTGAAGATGGATTTCAAATCCCGACCCTTTCTTTTCAGTTGATTTTGGAGCAATAGTGGTGAATTTCAAATGAACTCCAAATTAGAGTCATTTTCAGATCCCTTCCCCATATCAATTTTTTCTCTAAATCTAATCCAAATGGACCCTTATGGAATTGGTTATGGACGAGTTTAATTTGACTTTAATTATTATATATAATGATAAATTATTGTTGCTTATCAATTTTATATATATGATTTTTGTTTGCGTGTATGCAATTCGTTCAATATTTTATTTTTGTTTTGGAGAAGTTCAAGAGTATATAAAATATTTAAAACAAATCGTTTAATATTTTATTTTTGTTTTGGAGAAGTTCAAGAATATATATAATATTTAAAACAAATAAAATGAAGTCTGACATTTGGTTCCAATTTTATTCGGGCAGTGAAAATTAAAATTAAAATATTATGAAATTATTGATATGCAAATATAAGTTCAAACTTTCTTGATATATATAAAAAAATATTGAAGAAATATCGAGTCAATGTTGAAAAAAAAATATGTGTCTTGTCTCTCTTTTTACTTTTTTCCTAAAAGAAGGATTTTATGCAAATAAATCCTAAAACAGGGATTTTATGCAAATAAACATAAAATATGAAGGTATATTTAATACAAGGTATTTGAAGGTTATTTTGGTAAGGTTGAGAGTTGTAGACAAATTGAAGCCAACTTTCGGAACGTTACGCGCTGGCAGATTTGACGGTTAGGGGTCTGTATGCAAGAAAAACCAAAACATAGGGAATTCTACGCAATAAAATTAACACAGAGGATTTGGTGCAGGTTTTACAAAACACTTGGGTTTTTTTTAATGTTCTTTAATTTACCCCAAAATGGAGGGGAAAGTGGGAAGCTCGTAAGTACTAGGAAGACATTGCCAGATTAGCAGATGCTCTTACAAAATGTAGACTTTTTACAACAAACATATTAAACAATGGAGACATGAATAATTTGGACATGACTATTTCAGCTTCCAATTTCTTATTACCGCGATGACGATGAAATGATGATGATTGATTGATTGATCGATTGATCGACCGCGTCTTCGCCTTCTCTCTCTCTCTCTCTACTACTCTCCAGTTGTATTTGAATTGATCAGTACTCGACAAATTCAACACTCCGAATTTCTCTTTCCTATATAATATGCATTGCTTTGTCTTCAACGATATTTCATTCTCATCTCAATCCTCCTTTCTTTTTTTTTTCTTGGCTTGGATTCTTTGTTGCCCTTATAAAGTAGTAATAAATGATGGTGTGTTTTAAGAATTCAGTTTTTGGGGGTTGTTTGATGCTAATAGTGTTTACGTGTTGGTTCAATGCAAAGAGCATCGAAGCATTTGGTACATTCGGATTCGACATCCACCACAGGTATTCTGACGTTGTTAAGGAATACTTGAACGAGGTTGGGATGCCGGAAAATGATACTGTTGACTACTACACCGCCATGGCCCACCGTGATCATCTCTTCAATGGCGGCCGCCGCCTTGCCGCCTCCACCACCCCGCCCCCCCTCACTTTCATGGGTGGCAATGGGACTTACAGAAGATCGACTCTTGGAATGTAAGTTCTTTCCTTTTTCTTTATTTGTTCTAATTGGTTTGGTTTCTTTCCTTAGTTTGTTCTTTTTTTTTTCTTTTTTTTTTTTAAAGCAAGGGATGCTTAGTTGTACACTGTTTTAATTTCCAATTTTTAGAGAATTTCATTATTCCTGCTGAAATTGACCATCAGACATGTTGCTCAATGTTCATCACTTTTTATAAAAATATCACACCGTGTCTTGCTTATTTGCAGCGTGCACTATTCATTCGTTAGAGTGGGTACCCCTTATTTGGAATTTCTTGTGGCAATTGACACAAGCAGTGATCTATTTTGGTTACCATGTGATTGTCCTAACTGTGCACGCTACTATAACGGTAGCGACGGAAATGTAAGTCCCTTCCTTTGTCGATCTTGAGTATCTAGTCAAGTGACGAACCAGTTCATTTTAAAAACCTGATTTTTGGAAGTTATAACATTATGTTCTAACTTAATTTTGATGTAACAGAAATACGATCTACCCATATACAGTCCTAGTAATTCGACATCTAGTAAATTAGTTCCGTGCAATAGCCCTATGTGTGGACCCACAAGAGGATGCTCTACCACTCTTAAGGCTTGTTCTTACCAAATAGGAAACGTCAACGCCACAAGTAGTACAGGGATATTGGTTGATGATATTTTGCATTTGGGTACAGACACCAATCCACAAGACCCTGTCGATGTCTCAGTTACATTCGGGTGGGTACTTTCTTTTCTGGAAAAAAACATATGTTGGTCTTTAATATAAGATTGTAATAAGTCATTAGTATTTATTCACTTATTTGTTTCTTCTCTTGCATATTGGAAAAACGAGAGGAATCCACAGAACGAGAACTTTGTTCTTTTCACATTGTTGGTCTTGATGAATATAATAAAAGTTAATGAATCTATCTTGTGGTTCAGATGTGGAAAAAATCAAACCGGAAATTACTTGACCTATCGTGGTCTTAATGGTGTGTTTGGACTTGGTATGGACAGTATATCTGTCCCTAGCATTTTAGCTAGCAAAAACCTTGTAGCAAATTCTTTCTCATTGTGTTTTATCACTGCTCGAACTGGAAGAATCGAATTTGGAGATAAAGGGACTGCCGAACAAAAAACAACTCCCTTTAATGTTCAAAAATCAAAGTAAGCTAAAGTACTCATTCTTTTGCTTTTTCTTCGGTTTAACCTTTTCCATCTTCATTTATCTTCCCAACTTTTTGGCAGCCCAACTTATAATATCACTGTGAAAAAAATCGCTGTCGATAATAATGCCACCGATCTTGAGTTCTCCGCAACTCTCAAATCTAGTGTTCCATTTACATACTTGAGTGAACCAGCTTACTCGTTTATTACAGACAATGTAAGTTATATATAATGTTATTGTACATCCTGTGAAAGTCCGAGCTGATCTGATTCTACTTTCTTCTTTTTCAGTTCATTTCTCGCATAACCGATAAACCTTATGTCTATCCATTCGACTTTCTCGACTATTGCTATGCACTCAGGTCCGTTTAATTTTTAAACAACCTTTTCTGAGAGCTCGTATGTTTTTTTGAATCGTCATTTTTGCCTCATGATTTATATATTTTTCCATGCAGTGCAAATCAAAGTAGCCCTATAACCCCAAACTTGACCTTCACAATGAAAGGTGGAGACCAATTTAATGTTATTCTACCAACAATTCTTTTTCAGGAGGTGAGAAATTTGTCTGTGGATAAATTTATGAGAAAATTCCTTCGCAAAAATTAAAAAGAAAAAAAAAACAAAAAGTGCTAAGATTTTCTATTCATATGCAGGATGATGGACTTGTATATTGTTTGGCTATTGTCCAAACCGAGGGTATTAACATAATCGGACGTGAGTATTGGAACCGTATATCAATAAGTTTTCTTGCTTTTCTCCAATTGTCTCTTTAAATTACATTTCATGATCCATCTCCTTCTTTCAGAGTAATTCAATTTTGAGTTATTTCGACATAAATGTGTTGTCTTTTTTTTTTTATATATATATATTAATAGATTGATATCTTCTTGACAGAAATTTTTATGACGGGGCACCGGCTAGTCTTTGATCGCGAGGAGATGGTTTTAGGCTGGGAAGAATCTAACTGTGATTACAGCTCGCCCATTATTATACCCCCAACTCGTCCACGTGCACCACCAAAACAACCACCACCGTCACCACCACCGCCAAGTGGTGATGCCCGATCGAGTTCCATAACTAGTGGACTTACGGCTGTGATACTTGCCATTTTCTTCCACCACTTCATCGTTCTTTCTTCATGAGATTCTTATTACCAATTTGTTACTTTGCCTTGTTTGAGTGATCTGTTTGTTCGAAGACTGCAGTATAACCTTTGGAACACTGTGTTAGTTCTTTTACATGAGATGAATTGCAGTATTTATTTATGTACATAATACAATCGCCTGTTTTGGTATCGATTAAGGTTACTCGATTTTATTTTTAATTCGTATAAATCAACTAAAATTTATGTATATTATTTGTTTGTAAAAAAAAATGTTGATTTTTGTTTTTATGTAGTTGTACTTTTATTTTTATTTTTAGTAGTTAGATCATTAATTGACTATATATACCCGATGGAGGAAAAAAGTTTAAAAAAAATTATTAAAAAATTAAATAATAATAATAAAAAAAAATAAAAAGTAATAATTAAAAAGAAAATTAAATAGTGATGAGGCGGTGATAGTCTTGTGATAATGTTGATGATGTGGCAAAGACATAATTGAAAAAATTGATGGCTGAAATTAGGAGTCGACTATTCTCAAATAGTGCAAAATTGTTTAGGCATTTCCATTATATTCATTAATTGTAACACCATCCATGAATGCTACTTTGATAAATGATTCATTAATTGTAACATCATCCATGTCATTTTTCTAGGGTCGAATCTATTGAAACATACGACCTCATATGAATTTAGAACACGGGGTATCTCACTATAAACAAACTCTATTGATTAGTAAATGGTTTTAATTTTAGGGGCTATTTGACAAAACCCCCTCATACAATTTATTTATAGGGATAAGTCCAATTTTAAATTACCAATTAATGAGAACCCCTTCACTCTTGTATACTTCCAAAAATGCTCCTAAATTAATTCATCGGAAAAAAAAGAAAGAAAAAACATCATATCTTCCCAAAAAATAACTTCAGCTAACTCCCTAAAATTTCTCACCAAATCAATTATTTTTTTTTTCTTCAAAAAATTGATTATTATTATCTAATTATTATTATTATTATTACTTCTGTTTTTTTTTTAAATTTCAGTTTTTTTTAAATAGTTTTTAACAAATTGAAATTTGCTATGAGTTTATCAAAAACCATTATGTGATAACGTATTTCGTTACAAAAATCCATTATAAACTTATCAAAAACCACTATGTAATTAACAAAAACCACTATATAATTAACAAAAATTGCTATGTAATTAAGGAAAATCCACTATATAATTAATAAAAACCACTATATAATTAACGAAAATCGCTATAAAATTAACAAAAACCATTACGAAAAATCAACTATAAACTTATCGAAAATGTGATTAAAGTACTTCAAATATATCAAAATTCACTATGTAAATAATTGTAACCCACTAAGAAAATCCACTACAAACAATCAACACTACAAATTCTAACAAAGCCGAGCATACTCTATGTAATTTTCTTCTTATTGTAACATTTTTCAAGCATCACTCACCTAGTCATCCCCTCGGCGGTCACTCTGCTTTCTCAAGAAACAAAAGACAATATTAAATATGAAGGGAGATGAAAATTGAAATATATCAAACTAATATTTAAGAATTGAACACTAAATAAACCACTTTCACTTATAAAAATAATAAGTATGCGGCCGAGGTTGCCATCACATCAAATATAGACGAAGAAAGAATTCCCACAAATTTTCCAATTAACTACTTTTATATATTTCATATAGTTGTCTGATTCTACTAAGGACCACTTTATTGTTCATTTTTAATAAAATTCAAAAAGAAAAGAAAAGAAATATTAAATCCGCCACCTCCATTAACTGCCATCTCCGACGTTGAGGTTTGTGTATGCCTAAGACTTGGCCAAGTTGATTTTAAATTCGGCATACTCAAATAAGTTAGGTGGATAAAACTGAAGAAAATATATCATCAATTTATTTTGCACTAAATAAATCATTTAGTGGTTATAGAACTATTTTAATGTAAGAGACTACTATAATCGAAGCTCAAATATAACGATTGAGAATGTGGGCGAGTGTGCAATAATTATTTGGCAGTGAAATAAATAATTATTAAAAATTAATTAATATAATTATGTGAAAATATAATTTTAATTTAAGTTTAATTGATTGACACAAATTCTCTTACTCTAATAGCTAGTCCCATTCCTTAAGTGAACTAAATAAAATGTACTTATTTTAATTAAAGATGATTGGAAGGGAGCTTAGCCCATTACCCTAAAATTAATAAAAATATTTAACTAAGAAGTAAAAATTAAAGTTTAATAAAATAGATTGTAAATGATAGTGTGGAATTGCTTGGAAATCACGTGAGATGTAGACTAAAGGGTTTTTTGTATACATATGTCCAAGTTCGTGATCAATCATCTTTATTATTTTATGTTTAGGAGTTATATCTCTTTCGCCAATAAGCCTATCCCTTTAATATGTATTATAAATAAAGGAAAAAATAATGTATATGACAAAATTAACCCCAACCATTTACATCAAATTATGAATTATAATCTCAAATTTTGACTTTTTTTTAAATTTTTTTTTTCTGAAATTATTTTTTTATCGCTGGTTTCCGACGAACAATTTTTTTTTTTCTGCTTTTTCCGCTGCCGGTTTCCGGCGTTAATTTTTTTAGTGTTTTTTTTTCCATAAAATTTTTGTACTTTTTTACGCCCGTCGCTAAATGTTGACCGTAATTGTACTATCATTAACAGTAGTTATACTCACCGACAGTACATTAACATAATTGTACTGTCGTTGATGGTACAATAACGTAATTGTGCTGTTGTTGACAGTATATTTATGTAATTTTATTGTCGATTACAGATTTACAGTACAACTACAGTCATCGACAATATTATTATTGTTTGATTTGTTGACAAGTTAACGTAATTATATTATTGTCATTGACGTTAAAATAACTGTAAACACAATAATATTACTGTCGACCACATCAATATTATTGTTTTTTGGCTTTTTTTGTTTTGTTTGAATTGTTGACGGATTAATGTAATAATATTACTGTCTACTATTGTAATATTACTGTAAACACAATATTATTATTGTGGTTGACGGTAATATTACTATTGTTACAGTAATATTATTGTGGATGAGAGTAATATTACTACCAACCACATCAAAATTAATTCTTTTAGCTTTTTATTATGTTTAACTTTGTTGAACGGTCAACATATTAATATTACTCTATTACACAGTAATGACTTTTGTTGTGTTAATATTATTGTGGTAGAGATTAATATAACAATATTACTGTGTGTTTCACTGTAGTATAGTTAATATTACTGTGTTTCACAGTAAAATAATTAATATTAATGTGTTTCTCAATAATATAGTTAATATAACTGTCAACCATAACAATATTGTTGTGTAAACACGTCAAAAAGATGTTAAAGAAAGAAAAATAAATAAAAAAAGTCAACACCAGCGGCGTTGACCGGAGATATTTTGCTTGGGCCCTGTCTAACAAATTGTAGACAACTTTTGGATCTTTGGCGTGACAGACACGTGCTAGCAGATTTGACGGTTAGGGGTCTGTGTACAAGAGCAAACAAAACATAGGGGAATTCTACGCAATAAAATTAACACAGAGGATTTGGTCCAGGTTTTACAAAACACTTGGGTTTTTTTTTAATGCTCTTTACCCCAAAATGGAGGGAAAAGTGGGAAGCTCGTAAGTACTAGGAAAACATTGCCAGATAATTAGCAGATGCTCTTACAAAATGTAGACTTTTTACAATAAACATATTAAACAATGGAGGCATGAATAATTTGGCCATGACTATTTCAGCTTCCAATTTCTTATTACGGTGATGACGATGAAATGATGATTGATTGATCGCGTTTTCGCCTTCTCTCTCTCTCTCTCTCTCTCTCTCTCTCTCTCTCTCTCTCTCTCTCTCTCTCTCTCTCTCTCTCTCTCTCTCTCTCTCTCTCTCTCTCTCTCTCCAGTTGTATTTGAATTTATCAGTACTCAACATGTTCAACACTCCGAATTTCTCTTTCCTATAATATGCATTGCTTTGTCTTCAACAATTTTTCATTCTCATCTCAATCCTCCTTTTTTTTTATTTTTTTGGCTTGGATTCTTTGTTGTCCTTATAAAGTAGTAATTAATGATGATGTGTTTTAAGAATTCAGTTTTTGGGGGTTGTTTGATGCTAATAGTGTTTACGTGTTGGTTCAATGCAAAGAGCATCGAAGCATTTGGTACATTCGGATTCGACATCCACCACAGGTATTCTGACGTTGTTAAGGAATACTTGAACGAGGTTGGGATGCCGGAAAATGATACTGTTGACTACTACACCGCCATGGCCCACCGTGATCATCTCTTCAATGGCGGCCGCCGCCTTGCCGCCTCCACCACCCCGCCCCCCCTCACTTTCATGGGTGGCAATGGGACTTACAGAAGATCGACTCTTGGAATGTAAGTTCTTTCCTTTTTCTTTATTTGTTCTAATTGGTTTGGTTTCTTTCCTTAGTTTGTTCTTTTTTTTTTCTTTTTTTTTTTTAAAGCAAGGGATGCTTAGTTGTACACTGTTTTAATTTCCAATTTTTAGAGAATTTCATTATTCCTGCTGAAATTGACCATCAGACATGTTGCTCAATGTTCATCACTTTTTATAAAAATATCACACCGTGTCTTGCTTATTTGCAGCGTGCACTATTCATTCGTTAGAGTGGGTACCCCTTATTTGGAATTTCTTGTGGCAATTGACAC